TTCAGTAAAGCTGTTAAAAAATACTTGTCCACAATTTATTTGCCACTTTTTCTGTTAACAAACAAGATGTAATAGAAAAGTATATGCAAATACCTGTGAGTCACCAGTGTTGTGGTTCCCCAAACTTTGGAAATCTTCTTTTATATTTCTTTTGTTGGTGGGAGAGGAAGCTTATTTGTTTCCTTCCTGGGCCCTGGAATAAAATACGTTGTTGTCTGTGAAAGATACATGAACTCAGTACTACCAAATTTAGCAACCATCATCAATAACATCTCTGAAATCACAGTTTTCTGTGCTAATTGTATGATCTTCAACACTCATTAAAATAAATTCTTATTTTTTCATAGTCTACTCTAGTTCCTAAAAATCATCTTTGCATTACCAGTTTGATGTTCTTTATGGAACATGGTCAGAGCTTAATGTCCATGGTGTAGTGCGTGTCTCCATCTCATTTTCCTTCTTCTCTTACCTCACCTGCTATATTTTCTCCAAATATGGTGGTAATTTCAAAAAACGTGGGTTTGTTTCTTAATTTTGACTTTTTAATATTCCAGTGGAAGGCCGGATGCGGTGGCTTACTCTTGTAATCCCAACATTTTGGGAGGCTGAGGCGGGCGGATCACCTGAGGCCAGGAGTTCGAGACCAGCCTGGCCAACATGGTGAAACCCCTTCTCTACTAAAAATATAAAAACTAATCAGGCATGGTGGTGAGCGCATGTAATCCCAGCTACTAGGGAAACTGAGGCAGGAGTATCCCTCGAACCTGGAGGCAGAAGTTGCAGTGAACTGAGACCAAGCTATTGCATGCCAGCCTGGGCAAAAGGCAAAACTCCATCTCTTAAAAAAAAAAAAAAAAAAATTCCAGTGGAGATTGTGCTTCTAAAACTCTATCTAAAGATGATCTAGGCTGCCTTGCTAGTAGAGTTCTAATTTGTGTCTGCAAGTGAACGTCAGGTGCGTGAGGTTTAAAAGGTAAAAAGCAGGGAAGGCATTTGTCTCCAGTGGCAGGTGCAGAAGTGCATGTGGGCATTGCTGGATGGTGAGCATGAGGTGGTGCCACAGTTTCCTGACTTCCTCCTGGGCATCAGCCACTTGGGTGCGAACATAATTCGCAAGATTTCCATCAGCCTTTCTGACTGCCTGCTCAGTCCTTCCCTGGTTGAATCAACCTTTAATTCTCTACATGAAATAATCCCTGCTAAAAGCATCTAATGACTTCAGATTTTTTTCTGAATCAGTTAGTGTTTTCATATTTGGTTGGTTGGTTTCGTCTTTTAAGTCACTAAACTTTCTGGGATTTCTTAAATTGTGGTAAAATATACATAACATAAAAATTTACTTTTTTTTTTTTTTTGAGACGGAGTCTCGCTTTGTCACCCAGGCTGGAGTGCAGTGGTGCGATCTCGGCTCACTGCATGCTCCACCTCCTGGGTTCACACCATTCTCCTGCCTCAGCCTCCTAAGTAGCTGGGACTACAGACACCTGCCACCATGCCTGGCTAATTTTTTATATTTTTATTAGAGACGGGGTTTCACCATGTTAGCCCGGATGGTCCTGATCTCCTGACCTCGTGATCCGCCCGCCTCAGCCTCCGAAAGTGCTGGAATTACAGAAGTGAGCCACCGTGCTTGGCCAAAAATTTACTCTCTTAATCATTGCTAAGTGTACAGTGCATTCACACTGTTGTGTAATTGATCTCCGGAACTATTTTCATCTTGCAAAACCAAATGCTATTCCTATTTCCCCTTCCCCCAGCAAGCACCATTCTCCTTTTTGTCTCTATGGATTTGACCATTATATGTACCCCATATAAGAAGAATTATACAATATTTGTCTTTTGTGATTGGTGTATTTCACTTAGTATGATGTTTGAACCAGTTGTATTTTGTCATATTTAATATATGGAACCTTGGCCTGAAGAATAAAGCAAGTGTTTGATTTTGTTGATATAAAATAGATTCCTTTCCTAGAATTCTAAGTAGTTCTACCCATGCAAAAATATTCAAATGCTTTGTTTCTTACTTCCTCTGCAGTTTTCTACTACCCTGATTTTTAGTGCATCCAAGGGGCTGATGATAGCTAAGGATAACATGCCAGAGAACCTCTGCCGACTGGCAGGCCCCGGGAAACCTCTCCTTGTTGTGTTAAGTCTCCAAAATCAGGCACTCTTACCCATGCTGAGTGTTATCTAGACATAATTTCTCTCTAAATTCTATTACTGGCCTTTGGCTGCAGACAAATAAGTTAATTCACATCCATGTCAATAACTCAGTCACACTAAAATTGAATCAATGAATATAATTAGGACTCCAAGTATGCTGTAATTTGGCAATGATGGTACTCATAGTGAGGTGGTGAGATTAATCACTGGGTGTCGTAAATGAAATGTGCTGGTTCACAAAGAATCCAGCACAATTTCCCTGGCTAGGATGAAGGTTGGCAGTCGTGGGTTTTCCTGGACAGTGTCGGGCCTATACACTCTGGGGGAGCCTGAGTGCGCTACCGTGAAAAGATGCAAGCGTGAAGAATGTTCTCCATCACCTGGAGATTCAGGGTCAAATGAGTCAGTGTTCTCTTTTGGCTGCCCAGGTTTTGGGGGGTGCTAAATGTCTTTACCAGCCAGGAAACCTGTGGTCCCCCAACTATCCAGTACAATGGAGGAAAATTCGAAATGAAAATACCTCATGCAAACTCGAAAGCTCATCCATGAAAAACTAACAACTTGTTCTGCACATGAATCTTCTGAATTTGGTTTTCTGGTTTACAAACCCACAGCAGATCAGAAATAGCAAGTTACAAAATGAAACAGAGCAAAGTATACATGAAATGACAATGGGCAATGAGGAAACTCTGGAAAATAACACAAACACAGCAGACGTGGGACCTCCAAGAACATCTCCGTTTGGGTCATTAAATGTAGGAGCAAATAGCTCTACAGACTGCAGCAGGTCTTATGTTTATCTACAAATTTCACCACCACACACACCACACGCTTACAAACATAAGCAGGTCTTATGTTTATCTACAAATTAAGAAACATGTTCATAATTACGATGTTCAGGTGCCCTGAAGAGACTGATAATCCTTGTAGTTTATGGAGTCAAGGGATGCAATAATATGTTTAAGCACAGTTCTATCTCCCACACATATTAACGGGCTCATACATGGTTCTTAATATGTATCAGGCATTATTATCTAGCATTTGACGGTGCTCGTTTCAGACAAAGAAAATGAGGCTCAGAGAAATTAACTAACTTTCTTAAATCACGGGGTCATTAAGTAATGAAGCATGAATTCAAACCCCAGCAGCCAAGCCCCAACCCTGCTTTTAAGTACCACAACACATAGCTCACTTGTGACACTTCCAGATAGCCAGAAGCTTTCTTCTATTGGAAACACATCCTACTACCCTCTAGAATAAAATTATTGGAAATACGTCTTTAAAAGGAAACTGACTAATGTAACTCTGTGGAGCCTGGGGGAGCCTGTGCTATTCTCATTAAGCATGAGTATTAGTGAGTTGATTTCAAAGTTTATTAAATGAGTAAGTGTGGGAAACAAATTAGGAAAGAAACTATTCAGAGGAATAAAAATGACAGAAACAGAAGTTTTAAGTTTATAATGTCCTCATGTTACAAAGCATGTGTCTGTAGGCTGATACAGGTCCAAATATATTGAATTCCTATGGACTGATGGTTTTGCACACACATTAGATCTCTTTTGGAAAGAATAAATGCATACATTTGATAAAGAAGTTTGGTAGTAGTAAAAGAGATTGTGCTGTTGAGTGCAGGTGATTGCCACATTCTGTGGTATAAAGATAACCAGCTATGGAGTAGAGGGCTGGATTTGATTGCTGTCTCTACTATTTGTAAGCTCTTTGACTTTGTGCAAGTTAACTCCTTGTATCTTTCATTTTCTTATCTGCAAGACTGGGAAAATAGTAATATGTGCTTGCCAAGTTATGAGGGAGGATTAAATGAATTGGTCTTCATGTATTTCTTAAGACATGGTACTAGATCGGAGCTGGCAAGCTCTTTTCTGTAAAAGGTCAGACTTTGAAATATTTGCAACATTTCTGGCTACCAGGACAGAACTGCAGCCACTGAATTACAGAAGTCTTTTCTTTTCGTGGGAAAATAGCCATACAACCTACAGAAATTAATGAGCACAGTTGTGTTACAATGAATCTTCATTTACAAAAACAAGCTGTGGGTCAGACTTGACCTCAGGACTGTGGTTTGCTGACTGCTTCACAAGATAAATGAGGGTTAATATCATCAAAGGATTTTGATGAGAAGTCATTGGCATACTATATGAAAAGTATGTGGTACAGTATCTTGCCCGTGAAAGGTGTTTAGCAAATGATAGTTATTATTGTAAGGCAGATACTTCATATGTAACCTAGAAAATTACATATGGCTTTCCAATCATCAGACCCTCTGTCCTAGCTTCTTAATTTTCATCAAGGAAGGTTAAGAGACAAGGTTAACTTAGCTAAGAAGTAACTATGTGCAAGAATAAATGTAAGCAAAATGACAGAATTTGGTTACAGTTCCAAGATTCCTAGTTCAAAACAGAATGGGAAGAAAGGCTAATTTTCTCCTGATGTGGCCTTCCCTGACCTCGCAATATGTCCCCAGAAGGCTGTAGACCCTTTCTCCTTTATAAAACATTAAATGTGACTACCTTATATTAGTAACAGGTGTATTAATGGAGGTGCCGATGGCAGTCAGGAACAGGCTGAATGACGTGAATTCTTCCCTTCATAAATGGGCATCTTTCCATGAAAGCACAACATCATTTGTTGAATGTCAAGTAGACTAGAATTTCAGACCTGGAAACATTTGCCTTGAAGCATCAAAATAATTGAATACTGTAATGGCTCAGCACCTGGCTTAAAGTTATAATACTAAGATTTACATTATTCTTAGCCACAGGCATATTTTTCACCAGCTTTTAACAACCCACCTCCTTTTCCCCTTCCCTCCCACACAATAACTGGGATGACTTGTCTAGATCTTAGGCAAAAATTCACTTAGCACATCAGCTCCTGGAAACAAATGCACTTAACCAGAAAAATAGGGACATCAACCAGCAAAGATGCATCCTCATTTAATAGAGCTTGAAATTACTATAATCTGTAAAGTACAGTGAGAAGAAGAAGTTTCACCTGCCTGCACATCAGTCATTGATTCTCCATTTGACTTGGAGGGACTCTGAGGGACCGACCTGAGCCTGAGAAGAGGCAAGATTCCCCTTCAAGGACACACTGGGAACTTACGGACCTCTTTCTCCATGGTGCAGAGCACAGAGGTAATTACATAATTGTCTGTTCAATTACTTTATTCAAGAATCACAATCTCAAATTCCATAAGCCACCAGAGAAATGGCATCAATGAATGAAGCAGTTCATTTTAGGGACTTCAATTAACGGAAAGGGGTGTGTCCCAATAAAGACTCATACAGTCAACTGTTTCCATGCTGGCATACCCCACTGTTAATTGATTTCCCACATTTTCAAGGCAGCAGGAAATGTCATTTTTAATACTTTTATTTTTGGCTTTACGGAATTACTGCAAAGATAGTACAAAGTTCCTGTAAATCCAATGGGGATACCCAGTACCCCTATCATTGACATCTTACATTAGGATAGTGTATTATTATTAATTATTATATATTAGTATAGTATTATACATTAGTATAGTGTTATACATATGCATAGTATGTGTGATATACATTATTCATTGCTATTAGTGCTACTAATAATTATTATACATTAGTATGTATAACAATATATATTAATAATATATATTATACATATGTATAGTATTATACATTGGTATTAGTATTAGCAATAATTACTATATGTTAGTATGGTATATTATTAGTATGGTGTAGTTATTATTATTAACTGAAGCCCATATTTTAACCAAAAGTATAAATGGTAAATGTTCTGGTATTTAAATATTGATCACTGTGATAGGCAGAATAATTGATTCCCTCAAAGATGTCCCAAATACATAGGCAGAATAATTGTTCTCCAAACATTTCAAAGGCTTTCTAATCTTTGGAACCTATGACTAGGCTACCTTACATGGCAAAAGAGACTGTGAAGATGTGACTGAGATAAGGGTTAAGCTAATGGAGAGACTGGGAGCTTGTCCTGGACTATTCTGGCGGACCCATGGGAATCACACATGTCCTATTAGAAGGAGGCAGGAGGGTCAGAGTAAAAGGAGCTGTGATGAAGGCAGCAGAGATAGGACTGATGTGGCCATGAGCAAAGGAACACTGGAAGCTTCCGGAAAAGGAAAATGGTCACGAGATGGATTATACCTGAGAGCCTCAGAAGAAATTGAACCTTGAAGATACCTTCAAGGGATAATGATGGTGATGATTCTCTTGCTAGTCCAAAATTATCTTTGTTCAGATTTCAAATCATGAGGCACATGTCCCAGGGGCCCAACCTAGACAAAAGAAAAGCTTTGTAGATAAAGTCTTATTAAGAGAAATCAGAATAGGCCATTGAGGATTTTTCTTTAGACCCTTGAAATTGAACAGACTGACAATACACTCTGAAACGGTGCTCTCTCTGCTTGCATAATTTTCAAAAGCATAGTCACCTCATCTGTAATGACACTTCACCTGCAAACTCAGTAAGACCCATTTTAGATTTCTGAACTGGAGGATAATACATGAGTGCTGTTGTAAGACTATGCTAGTGGTAATTTGTTGCAGCAGCAAAAGGAGCTAATACAGGCATCAATTCAATGAGAAAGAAATACTCTGTTCCATCAAACAGAGACTCATCCACTAGGCCCCCATTGTGCAGAGGGTGCATGTCTGCTGTGTGACACTAGTCTTAAAGGGGACCGAGACTGTGCCCCCTCTGTATCTCAGACCTTAAAACAGCACTTGACACAGAGAAAAGACTCATTATATATGGATTAAAGTAATGCTTTTTAGCCCTTGAAGAACTGCTATATCAATGGTTGTCTTTGATATGCTATGCATTCTTTATTCTTCTTTGGCAAGAAGTGTGAGAAATATCAACTCTATTTATCTCTGTCCACTTAGGGCTCCTGAAGTACTTATCCTTATTTCCAAGCAACGTTAAGTATGTCTTTGGTTTCTTATTATGGAACAAAATGAGATACATACTTAACGGTTTGCAGATTAAGTATCATTGCAGATGGGGTGACTATGCTTTTGAAAATTATGCAAGCAGAGAGATCACGGTTTCAGAGTGCATTGTCGGTCTTTCACTTTCAAGGGTCTAAAGAAAAAAAAACTCATTGGCCTGCTTTGATTTCTCTTAATAAGACTTTAATTGTGAAGCTTTTCTTTTGTTTGGGTTGGGCCCCTGGGATAAGCGCCTCATGACTTGAAATCTGAACGAAGATAATGTTGGACTAACAAGAGATTCATCAACATCATTATTCTTTAAAACTCTGCAAAGCCCAGTGTGTTTGCACCATTAGACTTCAGTTTTCCTCTGCAAAGAGAAATCAAAGGCGATATGAGAAGACCACACACACACACACACACACACACACACAAAGCACAGAAATGGGAATCTCAGGATCAATGCATTATTTTTTTCCCAGAGAGGTTCTGATGGGAGAAAGGGCTTTTCTGCATCTCTTTCCCTACATCTTGCCCCTCCTGCCCACCCCTGTCCTTTCCCCCCTGCACAAACACATTGTAGACCCAGCCATTGGACACCACTGCCTGTGTTTTCCCTGTTTCCTCTTTGACACCTGAACCCTGGCAAGGAAGGCATAGCCTATGCCATCCTGGGTAATTATAGTTTGAACACTTTTCCCCCCAAGTCTCATGTTGAAATGTGATCCCCAATGTTGGAGGTGGGGTCTGGAGGGAGGTGTTTGAATCATGGCGGCAGATCCCTCATGAATGGCTTGGCGCCATTCCTTTGGAGATGAGTGAGTTCACAGAAGAGCTGATTGTTGAAAAAAGCCTGGTCTCCTCTCACTCTCTCACTGTCTCGCTCCTTCTCTCTCTTGCTCCCAGCCTCCCCATGTGATGCACTGGCTCCCCTTAGCCTTCCACCATGATTGTAAGCTTCCTGAGGCCCTCACCAGAAGCAAATACAGGCACTATGCTTTGAGTACAGCCTGCAAAACTGTGAGGCAAATAAACATCTTTTCGTTATAAATTAGCCAGTCTCAGACATTCCTTTTTAGTAACGTAAAAATGGCTTAACACTCTAAGCCTGTTTTGAGCACATTCCATTGAGGTCTGCTCACAGGTGATTGTCTCCTCCACAAACCCCTGTGATCTGTGCTGTTGCTGTTGGTGCATCCCTCTCATGATGTCGCTGCTGTGGACACAGCCTGCGCCCCCTCCCCAGAGTTATATTTCCATAGACCTTGCTCTTCCTATATTTTCCAGAAGCAACTCAGTTGGGGTGTGGCCAAGAAGGGTGACAATCACAGAAATGATTTCTCTCTTCTACCTCCTTCAGGAAAATCTGGGCTCCAAAATCTGCTTCTACTGATACCTGGCTGTGGCCAAGGTCTTTCCACCCCTCCAAGGCCTCCATTTTTTTATCTTCATAAGACAGAACGATCCAACCTGCCTATCAGTATTGTGAGTGTATCACGGCTCCCCTGAAGTCCTGCAAGTTCTTGACTGCAGGTTCCCAGGAAATGGCAGATGTGACTAGAAATGATTCATTCATTGTTTCATTAGTCAAGCCAGCTTCCCTGATGATCTACTGGGTGCAGGACTCTGGCATGGCAGGCTGTGCATTCTGCCCGTGCCCAGTGCACATTTCAGCCCTGTCTTTTGCTGCCTGGGTGAGCTGGGCTGAATTACAGATCCTTTGCACTTCAGTTTTCTCCCTTCTGAAATAAGTGCTACAGCGGCATTGCCCTCAGAATTGTTTTGCAAGGAAATCAAGGAGTGTCTTGCATAATGTGTGCAAGACACATAATTGGCCCTAGAAAATTTTACATAATAATAATGCCACTATTACATTTATCGAAGGGCTCAGACAGTGTGAGTCCCGAGCTGTGTGTTAACCACTGCAATTATTGCTAGTAATGATGTTATTTTAAACTTGTTTAATTATTCCTATATGTACACAGTAGTGCACCCTTATTTGGGGTTTAACTTACACTGGTTTTAATTACCAAAGTTCAAAAATAGTAAGGTATTTTGAGATAGAGAGAAACCACATTCATAAAACTTGTGTTACAGTATATTGTTATAATTGTTCTACTTTATATTAATTATTATTGTTAGTCTGTTATTGTGCTTAATTTATACTTTTATGATTTTAATTTTTTGTAGAGATAGGGTCCTACTATGTTGCCCAGGCTGGTCTTGAACTCCTGGCCTTAAGCAATCTTCTTGCCTCTGCCTCCCAAAGCACTGGAATCACAGACAAAAACCACCATAAACAACTTCCTAATTTATAAATTAAACTTTATCATAGTTATATATTAGGAAAAAACATAATCTATGTAAGGTTTACACTATCTGCAGTTTCACACATACACCGAGGGTCTTGCACTGTATCTTCTGCAGATAAGGGGGAATGACTGTATACACATATATGTGCTTCTATGTGACTATACACATTTAGATGCAGGAGTAGGTGCAGGTGGATACAGGTACGGGGTATACATAGATAGACATAGAGATGTGTTTTTCCTCTTCAAAGAGCAAGGACTTAGGAGAAAACAGAACTAACAAACTGGAACATAGATTTGAGGAACTTGCCCAGAACACAGAGAGACAAAGCCCTGAAAAATATTCTACAGAAGATAAGAGACATGAAGGATAAAATAGGCAGGTGTTCCATACAACGGGAGAAGAATGAAGAGGAGCAGCATTTGAAGAGCTGAATCTAAGCATCATCTAAAGTTCATTTTTGTGAAATGCACCTTCAGATTCAAGAATTTACATCAAAACCCCAAGCAGAAGTTTTCTAAGCCCGTGCCTAGATAGCACTTGGTGAGTAAATTCAAGGAAACTTTAAAAATACAAAATAGTGGCCAGGCGCAGTGGCTCACGCCTTAATCCCAGCACTTTGGGAGGCCGAGGCAGGCAGATCACGAGGTCAGGAGTTCAAGACCAGCCTGGCCAGCATGGTGAAACCCTGTCTCAATAAAAATACAAAAAATTAGCCAGGCATGGTGGCATGTGCCAGCTACTTGGGAGGATGAGGCAGGAGAATTGCTTCAATCCAAGATGCTGAGGTTGCAGTGAACCGAGATCTCACCACTGCACTCCAGCCTGGGCGACAGAGCGAGACTATGTCATATATATATATATGTGTGTGTGTG